GCGCACAAATTCTCGCCAAGCCGCACACCAACCTGTGCAAAATGACGAGTGGCGCAGTGGCAACATCCAGCAAGGGCGGAAGCGCCGTACGAGAGCGTGCAAGGTCTGCTCGCTCTTGAAGGGCACCGACAACGCGAAAGGTGGAGATTCGTCGGTATACTGTAGCGAGTGTAAGCTGCCCAACACGTCGAAGAGACCCATGGCTTGGCGGGTTTTCCTCTGTGAGAAGGTTCGTCACACGTACAACGGAGCTGCAATGTCTTGCTTCGACATCTGGCACAAGGCCTGGAGAAACGGAACGCTACTCCTTAAGAGGGCAGTGAAGCGCACGATCCTCGCACGTACACCGGGACGTCGCGAATGCTCGAACGAGGAAAATGATGAGGCTGAGAGTGTCCAGTCGTCCGGAGATGAAACCACGACGAGCGGCTTGCATCACCCAAAGCGGGCTCGCCGCGCTCCGGATGCTGAGATGACTGACTGATCAAAGGCGTCGATCGTAATTTTTTACTTAGGTTTTATATGCCCTCAATATTACGATATTGAACTTGACTGCATATGTTACATTGGTTTAGTTATGTACCAAGCTTGTTCAACCTATGTCCGCCTTACCAGTTCCTGTCACAAATGCAGGTACCGGTTTTGTAGTCTACTATACACGCTAATATGACTGAAGTGTATATCGCTCGTTTTCGGGCCTTCGACAAGTTGAAGGTACAAGATAACAGGAGAGACAGTCTTCCAGGTTTAGGTTTTTAGTGCGGCTATGCACTATACATGTTAGCAAAACATGAAGGAATTTATATGGAAGCCCTTCCCCCCACATACACGTTTGAGAGACTAGGGATTCGGTTAAGTTTGCGCCGAAACAGCTCGGGTCTCAAGGGGTTAAAAAGCACAAATTCGGACTCATGCAGAATACTTGCCGCTATCAGTCATTTTTTATTCGGAATTTGATACGGAGAGACCAATTTTGTAACAAAGCCCACTAAATGCCCACTTATTAGTCCGTGTTCGGTTTGCAGGGGCAAATCCAGCTTGTTTGAAAATAAGCTAGAGCTGTACTACTGTCGCTGTTTTAAGGGGCTAAGGAGGACGAATCAAAATTTAACCCAGAGCTGAATTTTGAAACCAGTCGTTTGGAGCTATCCTGCTGGATGTCATTTTTTGTGTTTATTAGCGGAATAAAGCTGGTTGAGACATTCCATCTCCTTAATAACAATTACAGCTGGTTTTAGATTAGATCGAACACGGCCTTAGAATTTTCGATGCGACATCGCAATAACAATACGAGGCCAGGCGCTGGAAAGTAAAACAAAAATTTGATTTGCAGCTGACCGAGTCGATCGTTGTATCCTTGTGGTCGTCTTGAAGTTGAAAAGTTATATTAGGGATGTCAAATGGCGCTCTTCTTTAAAATTGGCTAGTCTCTTCAGACCTACAGTGTACATTTTTCATCTTGAGATTTCGGCGGATTTCTACCTTTTGGCCGATCAGCGATGCGAATTTGGTCGTTATGTCAGATCTGTTAAGCTGATATCCTGTGCTCGTTTGACGTGTCCTCCACGCGTGATCGACGAGGAATTATTGATCTGCTAATGCTAAGACTTAATAGTACCTTATGGCAAGTGTAGAGGAAGAGTCAGGGTCGAGCAGCTCTACCTGTCCTGAGCCTTACTTCTACGGATCGCAGGTTGGTAAG